CATGCATACATATATATATATATACATGCATATATATATATATATATACATGCATATACATACATATATATAGATAACATTTATACAATAATAATACCGTATAAAAGATAATTTGGGTCCTCACGAGGCCCCCCGTTCACTCGGCGCACACAGCACCAAACCCTAAACCCTAAACCCTAAACCCTAAAGCAAATCCAAGCAACAAGAAGCTCTAAAGGGTTGACAATAGGAGTTCTAAACCACCCCGAAGAAACAGACAAATGTTAACCTCTTGGGGTTCCCCAGGGGGCCCCTCAGAAGCTTCTGTAGATAAAGACCTTTGTGGGTGGGGGCCCCTAGGGAGGCCTATCAGGGGGCCCCTAGAGGGCCTCTCAGGGGGCCCCTAGGGAGCCCCTAAGGGGCCCCACTATATACAGACCCTTGAATGCCTCGTGGGTGGGGGCCCCTCTAAGAACCCTTAGAAGAGATGATGCCCTGATGGGGTTCGCGGGGCATCACCCATTTCATTGAGATATTGAAGTTGGTGCATGCATGCATGCATGCATGCAAGCGGGGCTTTGCATGCATGCATATTTTGCATGCAAGAATATGTTGCATGCATGCATATGTATGCGTGATTTGGTTTGGAGCCCCTGAGTTGGGGTCTTAAAGCGTTTACATATATATATATATATTATTTTTGTTTATTAGGGTGTTTCACCTTCTCTTCTTTTTATGTTTGCCTTTGCGGGCCCATGAGGGTTTTCTTCTGCTGGTGGTTTGTTTGGGGCCCCCAGGGGCCCCCCACTTGTGCTGCTGCTGCTGTTTGCGGCTGCTGTTTGCTCCTGCTGTCTCCATGTCGCTGTCAGAGCTATCAAAATCCGATGAGGCATCGCTGTCTTCTACGGGGCTGTCCACCCCCTGAGGCCCTTCTGCAGCAGCAGCAGCAGCAGCAGCACGCACAGGCCCACACACAAGACGTATGCTGCATGCACACACTTGCATGCATGCATGCATGCTTGCATCTGTTCTCGTAAAAGCAGAGACTCTGTCTCCCTCTTAAATGATGCAGAGACACCGGATAGGCGAGAAGAGTTACACTAGAAAGAAGTAATTAAACCCCTACGGATATAACCCTAGCGCCCCTGAATGCATGCATGCACGCATGCATGCATACTTGCGTGCATGCTGAGGAGACACTCCGTGCATGTATGCAAAGGAGACACCTGTTTGACTTACTCTTTATAAGTTTGTCGTAGGCCTCTTCGGTGATGCGACCTCTTCTCAATTTGCGTGCCATCCTCTCTGTAGAAAACAGCAAAAAGAATGGGGCTTTGCATGCATGCATGCATGCGTGCATGCATGCATGCACTGGAATATATATATATATATATATATATATATATATTATATAAATATATGCACATAGGCATTAACTGTTTATCTTCAATAAGTTATAATTAAGATATACTCCAATTATAATACAACACAGGGAAACGGATGCGTTAGTACAAAAAACTAAACAAATGCAGCTTTCTGCATGCATGCGAGGCTTTGCATGCATGCATGCATCCATGCATGCATGCATGCATAGACAGCTGCACGGACCTTCAAAGGCCAACTCCCTCCACTCCTCCAGCGCGTTTCGCCTGAACGCAGCAGAAAACAAACAAAGCTGTGCATACACCCCAAACCCGCACATGCATGCACGCATGCATGCAAGCAGAAGCCCCATTATTCCGCATTAATACCCCAGAGCGTATCCCCACAGCGGCTCTTTGCTGTGTTGACGGTCCCTCTAGCTATATATATCTATATTATATATATGTATATATATATATATATATTATATATATATACATAAGAAGTTGTATGGCGTTGTGCGTTTGCTGCCTTTATTTGTATTTGTTTATTTGCATGCATCCATGCAAATAAAACAAATACAAATATAAATACAAATACATGCATGCATGCATGCATGCATGCATTTAAAGCTGCTATTTTTACCTTTTGGTTTGTCTCTTTTCACTTGTTGTTCGTTGGTGTTTGTTTTGACGATTATTTTTTTGTTTCTTTTCTTCTTTTTTCTTTCGTTTTTCTTTTTCTAGCTGCTGCTGCGCGCGCTTTGCATGCACCTGCTGCAGCTGCTCCTGACGCTGCTGCTCTCTTGCTGCATCATTTCTAAAGGGGACAGTAGCCGGGTCGATGGGGCTTTGCTTGAAGTCCTGGAGACACTTCCCTAACACTTCCCGCATGCGCGGCAGTCGCAGCAGCCGCAGCGCGGTACCCAGGCGCCCCAGATTTAGTTGCTGCAGCAACAGCAGCAACAGCAGCAACAGCAGCAGCAGCAACAGCAGCAACAGCAACAGCATCAGCAGCAGAAACAGGATAGGAAAAATATGATAGAGCAGCTCCACCCATTAACACACCAAATGATTACAGCCACATCTGCGACACAGACGTCTCCTGCTGCTGCTGCTGCTGCTGCCATTGCTGCTGCTGCTGTTGCTGTTGCTGCTGCTGCTCCTGGTGCTGCTGCTGCTGCTGCTAAGAAGGACCCACCGAAAAAGGTAGAAGATAAGACAGCTGGTGCTCCTTGTACGCGCGGATAAAGGAGACAAACGCCCTCGAGCCCTTTTGAATAAGAGCTTGATCCTGAGAAGAAGAGACACCCCAACGCAAGGGTTTAGGGTTTAGGGTTTAGGGTTTAGGGTTGTTAGGTAGGGCTTAGGGTTTAAGGTGAGGTAGGGTTTAGATACGTACAGCCGCCTGGATAAGCGCCAGCAGCAGTCACAAACAACAATGCTGCGCTTAAACCCTAAACCCTAAACCCTAAAAGCTAAACCCCTAACCCAACGCCTCAAGTAAGGATGTAAATATAAAATAAATAGGAAGTTCGTCGTCTCTAGATGGGGGTTTGTAGGCTAGCCCTGCTACTAACTGCAGGGAGTCTCATATTTAGGGTTTAGGGTTTAGGGTTTAGCTAGGGTTTAGGGTTTTTACCTGCTGCACAGCTTCCTGCAGAGCGTTATTGATAGTTTCAATCTCGGTCTTGCATAAAAAGGGATTGGTTATCTCTTCGCTCTCTTCTGCTGCATCTTCTGCTGCTGCTGCTGCATCTGCTGCACCTGCTGCTGCTGCTGCTGCTGCTGCATCTTGCTGCAGCAGCTGTCCCTCTTCTGTCTCCTCGAAAGGAGACAGCTGCACCCCTCTGTTCCTTATAAACGACTCGTACGCATCTTCGTGCGGCAGCAGCAGCAGCAGCGCAGCGCCGCTGCGCCCAGCGCGAGCTGTCCTTCCAATGCGGTGTACGAACACCTCAGGGTTCTGCAGCAGCAGCAACAGCAGCAGCAGCAGCAACAAAAGTTAAACAAGTTGCCGCAGCAGCAGCAGCGCTAACCAGATGAAAAACCCAAACACCAAAACAACACCCTGCAGCAGCAACTGCACAAACGGGTCAACAAGAGCAGCAGCAGCAGCAGCAAGAGCAGCAGCAAACAGCAACCAACACCACTAGCAGCAAACAGGAGCAGCAACAAAAACAGCAGATAACAGCAGCAAACAGCAGCAGCAGTAGTGGGAACGAACAGCAGCAAGCAAACGCAGCACCAAACCACAGCACAAGACAGCAGCATCCACCGTCATCAAACAGAAAAGAACAGCAGCAGCAGCAACAGCAGCAGCAGCAGCAGCGTACCTGAGGTGGATCTAGCTGTATGATCCAGCGAACATCAGGGAAGTCAAGGCCCCTCGCTGCAACATCGGTAGCCAGCAGCACTAGAGCCCCGCCCTTGTCCCCCTTGCTGCTGCTGCTGCTGCTGCTGCTGCTGTTGCTGCTGCTGCAGAATCGGTTGAGTGCCGCGCTGCGCGCTCTCTGTTTCATTCGGCCGTGCAGTTTCTCCACGAGGGCCCCACACCCCCTGCCTCTCCCTTTGCTGCTGCTGCTGCTGCTGCTGCTGCTGCTGCTGGAAGGGTTCTGTCCCCTGTCTCCTTTAAGTGTCTCTAAAGCCGCAGGCGTCTCCGCTTTAGAGACTTCGCTAAAGTGCGCCTGCAGCAGCGCGAAGTAATACTCCACGCACTGACACGTCAAACAAAATACAATGCAGCGCTTCCCCTGAGGGATCACCACCTTCCTGCAGCAGCAGCAGCAGCAGCAGCAGAAGCAGCAGCAGCAGCAGCAGCAGCAGCAGCAGCAGCAGCAGATTCAGAGACTGGGGGGAAACGGAGACAGAAGCAGCAGAAGGTGCCGCACCAAACAAATACATCCACAAAGTGCAGCAGCAACAGCAACGCTATGTGCAGCAGCAGCAACAGCAACAAAGTCTGCAGCAGCAACAGCAGCAGCAGCAGCATTTACAACACCAGAATCAGCAGCAGGATCATCAACAGCATTAGCAGCGATAGCGGTAACAACAACAGCACCAGCGGCAACAGCAGCAACGGCAGCAGCAGCAGCAACAACAACAGCACCACCAGCAGCAGCAGCACCAGCGGCAACAGAAGCAGCAGCAACAGCAGCAGCAGCAGGAGCAGCAGCAGCAGCAGCTGAGGGTGTTAGTTACTGTAGGAATTTGATAAGAAACGGAAGCTTGTGGGTATAATCAACAACAAGCAGCGAATTAGACAGAGTGAGAGGCACAGAGTGCTGCACTGCAGCAGAAGCAGCAGCAGGAGCAGCAGCAGCAGGAGTTTCTTCTGTCTCCTCTCCTTTCTCCCCCTTCCCGTCCAAACGAACCCCTGCAGCAGCAGCAGCAGCACCAGCAGCAGCAGCAGCAGCAGCAGCAGCAGCAGGTGGGGCTGCTGTAACTCTAACACAAACAGGGTCCTTTAAGAGGCTTCTGATAACGCGCTGCTGCATAGCTCCAGAGAGAGTAGCAGAAAAGAAAACAGTTTGAAGCCGCTGCTGCTCCCGTCGTTCGCTTGGCAGCAGCTGCTGCTGCCTTGCTGCTGCTGCTGCTGCATGCAGCTGCTGCAGCTGCTGCGCGTGCTGCTCATCCAGCAGCCTATCTGCTTCATCCACCACCAACAGATTCAGCCAACGCCATTCCCACAGAGGCTGCAGCAAACACGCACACACACCTGCTGCTGCTGCTGCTGTTGCTGCTGCTACTGCTGCTGCTGCTGCTGCTGCTGCTGCTCCTGCTGCTATTGCTGCTGCTGCTGCTATTGCTGCTGCTGCTACTGTTGCTGTTGCCCTTGGGTGATGCTGCTGCTGCTGCTGCTGCTGTTGCTGCTGCTGCTGCGTACCTGCTGCTGCTGCGGCAGCTCCAGCAGGCTCAGCAGCCTCCCTGGTGTTGCAGTGAGTATATACACCGCACGTTTGCTGCACTTCTTTCTAATTAGAAAACTGTCTGCCTCTAGAGGCCTCGCACCCCCAGTGAGGCACATAGCCCGCAACAAGAAAGTGCTGCTGCATCTCTTGCTGCTGCTGTTGCTGCTGCTGTTGCTGCTGCTAGGGTGCTCCGGCTGCAACAGCACGGCTTCAAGGGAGTGCAGCAGCTGCAGCAAAACCGCATGCGTTTGGCAGCAAAGCTCCCGAGTAGGGGCCACGACAAGGACACCAACTCTACAGCGGAGTTCAGACGCAGCAGCAGCATCTGCTGCTGCTGCTGCTTCTGGATCTGAAGCAGCAGCAAGTGCAGCAGCAGCAGCTTCTTCCTCCGGTGTCTCTGTCAATGCCGCTCTTACATCAATCGCATCTCCACCATCTAGTTGCTGCTGCTGCCCATCCTGCTGCTCCTCCTCCTGTTGTTGTTGCTGCTGCTGCTGCCGTTGTTGCTGCTGCAGCAGCTGCTGCTCCAGCAGCCTGGAGACAGCAGGAATAAGAAACGCAAGCGTCTTGCCGCTGCCCGTAGGGGCCTCAACAGCAACATCTCCAAACCTTCTCGATGCAGCAAGGGCCCCCCCTGTCACCAGCTGCTGCTGCTTCTGCTGTTTCCTCTGCTGCTGCTGCTGCTGCTGCTGCGGCAGCAGCAGCGGCAACGTGGCTTCCTGTACGGGCGTACAGTGAGTAAACCCTAAACCCCTCAGGGCCTCTACAACCCCATCAGGCACACAGCCAATGCCTGCGAAGCTGCTGCTCTGACGAGACCCATCAGGGGGCCCCCTGGGGGCCCCCCTATGAACCTTAGGGGGCCCCCCCGCAACATCTGTTGAGGCAGTCTTCCGTACCTTCTTTGGTAACCCCTCCTTCAGGGGGGCCCCTGGCTTCTTCTTTCTTGTGAGTAATAACTCCCCCATAGCCACTCTCTAAACCCTAAACCCTAAACCCTTAAGGGTTTGTTGGGTGCTCGGCGTGAGAGTCGAAGACTTCGTGCTGCTGCCTTCGCAACAAAGCTCAACCCCTAAAGAATAATTCTAAACCCTGAACCCTAAACCCTAAACCTCAAATGTGTACAACACTGAAGAACGCATGCATTCACCTCTTGTTTCTTCAGAAAAATTTAGGGGGCCCCCGGGGCCCTCTCGATCTTATCAGGGATCCGTACAGCTGCATGCGTTATATGCTATTTCAGTAACTAAAGTATTAATGCATTTAAATAAATAAATATTTTAATGTTTTTCTTGCCTTTGTTCAGCGAACAACTCCCCTAATAAAACCGTTCTGCTGCAGTGCTGCTGCTGTGGGGCCAGCAGCAGCAAGGGTCTCTATAAAGGAATCGAAGAGAGCAACTAATATCTAGTTAGAATTATTATTATCTTTATTATTATCTTTATTATTAATATTATTAATTACTATATTATTATCAAGCAAGAAAGAAGGCCATTAGGCTAAGACTGTCTATTGCAGCCTGCAGCTGGGGACAGAGGGCTATCTGAAGAATGCTTATTTTTAAAGAATTTATATGATATAGAGATTGTTTTAATATATTGTATATATAAATAATATATATAAATATATAATATATATATATATATATTTAGGTGAAGGATTTAATAAGCTGATTGTAGCGTTTATATATTGAGCATGCACATATTTATAGAACAGCAGAGATTTATTATTTATATTTATTATTTTTGGGGACAGCACCAGGAATCGAACCCGGGACCTCTTGCATTCAAAGTTGAGGCCCCTACTGAGTTGATGGAGACAGCCACACACATACACCTAAACAACAGAAAAAGGATATTAAGTGCAGACCAGACACAGGTTTTAGAGGCTAAGAGACAGAGAACAACTTGAAGATAAACAATAAAGAGAACTTCATTCCTTAAGCCCAGAGACACCCTCAATAAAGACAAGGGAGCTGGCTCACTGGCAAAGTGATAATGCCTTCAGTTGAGCCCCTTAGCCCTCAGCACCTAGATTGATATAAAGGAAAGGAGACCCCTTATAGCAAATAAGCACCGAAGGTCTAGAGTTAAGATAAGCCCCGATAGGTGCAGTAGCATGGAGGGATCCATGTGCTTTGTATGCCTGCAATATGAGAATGCAGGTATATCCATCACACAATAGATGGGGAGTCGAGCTGTGCAGACACCTGAAGAGGACAGCCTTAAACTACTGATTCTTTCTGTTGAACTCTAATGCCAACATAGAGGCCTGGGACCCTGTCAAAGCAGAAATGCTAAGTCAATTCTGTGGAATATAGCAAGATGTCATAATAGCCCGTAGGGCTAACGATAGGCAGAATGGGGGCCCCACACTACAGTATGCCGCTGAGTGCTCTTAGCTCTAGAATCAAGGAGGACCCCTGCAACCTGAAGAACTAGTTAGACTCTTTCAATCTAATATACCTAATGATGTTATCTTAGCTCTGAAAAAAGAAGGTCAGAGATCCCGTACCCTC